ACACCACAACTCAAAAGCATCAACTCTTCTTTGGTCTTCCATATTCATTATCCAGCTGTCACGTGCATATGAGAATATTGAAAATATCATGGCATGGGTTAGGCGCACCTTAGTCTTCAAAGAGACATCTTCGCTCTCCAGCACTTGAAAGAGGTCTTTTGCAGCAGATTTGCCTAGTGCAGTATGTTGTCCGATGTCTTGACTACTGCTTCCATTGGTGTTGATTGTGGAGCCAAGTAATGTGAAATCTTTGACAACTTCAATCTTTCTCCATTTATTGTGATGCTGCTTATTGGCTCAGTTGTGAGGATTTTCGTTTTCTTTAGGTTGAGATATAGTCCATACTGCAGACTATAGTCTTTAATCTTCATCAGTTAAGTGCTTCAAGTCATCCTCACTTTCAGCAAGCAAAGTTGTGTTATCTGCATATCTCAGGTTGTTAAGGAAGGTTGGGCAATCCTACTTCCGTAGTGATACTGACTCGGAAACCCAAGGAGGGGTCGCTATGAGTCGGGTTTGACTCGACGGCACATAACAACAACAACAACAACAGGTTGTTAATGAGTCTTCCTCCATTCCTGATGCCACATTCTTCTTCATATAGTCCAGCTTTTCAGATTATTTGCTCAGCATACAGACTGAATAAATGTGTTGAAAGGATACAATCCTGATGCACTCCCTTCCTGATTTTAAACCATGCAGTATCCCCTTGTTCTGTTCAAACAACAGCCTCCTTGTCTATGTACAGGCTCCTCATGAGTACAATTAAGTGTTCTAGAATTCCCATTCTTTTTAATGTTATCCATAATCTGTTATGATCCACACAATCAAATTCTTTTGCATAGTCAATAAAACACAAGTTAACATCTTTCTGGTATTCTTTGCTTTCAGTCAAGAATCTGACATCAGCAATGATTTCTCTCATTCCACGTCCTCTTCTGAATCCAGCTTCCGTTCTTGAAGTTCTCTGTCAATATACTGCTGCAACCATTTTTGAATTATCTTCAGTAAGATTTTACTTGCATGCGATATTAATGATATTGTTTGATAATTTCCACATTCTGTGGGATCATCTTTCTTTGGAATGGGTACAAATACGAATTTCTTCAGTCAGTTGGCCAGGTAGCTGTGTTCCACATTTTTTAGCATAGACGATTTAGTGCCTCCAGCTCAGCATCCATTTGTTAAAACATCTCAGTGGGTATTCCATCAATTCCTGGAGCCTTGTTTTTTGCCAATTCCTTTAGTGCAGCTTCAGCTTCTTCCTTCAGTACCATTGGTTCTTGATCATATGCCACCTCCTGAAATGAATGAACATCAACCAATTCTTTTTGGTACAGTGACTCTGTGTATTCCTTCCATCTTCTTTTGATGTTTCCTGCATCAGTCAATATTTTGAATCTCTCAATATTGCAACTTGAGGCTTGAATTTTTTCTTCCGTTCTTTCAACTTGAGAAATTCTGAGCGTGTTCTTCCCCTTTAGTTTTTTAACTCCAGGTCTTTGCACATTTCATTACAATAATTGACTTTGTCCTCTCAAGCTGCTCTTTGAAATCTTCTGTTCAGCTTTTTAGCTTATCATTTCTTCCATTTGCTTTAGCTATTCTCTGTTCTAGGGCAAGTTTCAGAGACTTTTCTGACATCCATTTTTGTGTTTTCCTCCTTTCCTGTCTTTTTAGTGACCTTTTGTTTTCTTCATGGATGATGTTCTTGATGTCATCCCACAACTCTTCTGGTTTTCAGTCATTGGTGTTCAATGTATCAAATCTATTTTTCAGAAGGTTTCTAAATCCAGGAGGGATATAATCAAGGTCATATATTGGCTCTTGTGGACTTCTTTTAATTGTCTTCAGCTTCAAGTTGAACATGCATATGAGCAGTTGATGTTCTGTTCCACCGTCACCTCCTGGCCTTGTTTTGGCTGATGATACTGAGCTTCTCCATTGCCTCTTGCCACAGATGTAGTCGATCTGATTCCTGTGTACTCTATCTGGCAAAGTCCATGTGTATAGCCACCCTTTATATTGTTGAAAAAAGATATTTGCAATGAATAAGCCATTGGTCTTGCAAAATTCTGTCATGTGTTCTTCAGTGTTATTTCTATCACCAAGGCCTTATTTTCCAAAGTAGAGGGTCAGCAAAAAAGAGGAAGACCCTCAATGAGATGGATTGTCACAGTGGCTGCAACTATGGTATGGTAGTTAAGTTTGTGTGTCATCTTGGCTGGGCCTGGTTGATGGTTTGTGCTCCAGCCATGCTGATTGGATTGTCATTCCCCAAATATATCACACACTCTCACCTCTAAACCTTTACTCTTCATTGGTCTAAAATTCATCCTTCTCCCTTTCCACACTTTAGTTTTACTCACTTCTCCATTCTTTTCAATTATCAATTTAAAGATAGACATTTTTTTTTTTTTCTTTTTCCAGAAGGAGCCCTGGTGGTATAGTGCATAAAGCATTTGACTGCTAACCAGAAGGCTGATGGCTCAAATCCACAAGCCACTCCATGGAAGGAAGACTGGGCAATCTACTTCTGTGAAGATGTACTGCCTTGGAAACCCAAAGGGGGTTGCTATGAGTTGGAATTGACTCGATGGCAGTGAGTTTGGTTTTTGTTTTTTCAGACTAGAGATAGGTGTCTTCCATGTCCTACTATAGAACTCATCATAAAACCAAAACTAAACCCATTGCTGTAGAGTTGTATCCGACTCAGTGGCCCCTTAGGTTTTCAAGGTGGTTTCACTACAGAAGTAGATTGCCCAACCTTCCTTCCAAGGAGTGGCTGGTGGGTTTGAACAGCCAGCCTTCTGGTTAGCAGTCAAATGCCTTAGGCACTGCACTACCAAAGAACTCATCATAGCTCTTCCTTATTACTATTGTGTAACTGCTTGTTTACTTATAGGTGTCCCTCAGTAGCTGATTCATTCCTGGAAGTCAAGGCCTATATCTTATTCAGCTTTGTATCCCCAGATCATGGAATGTGGTGAGTTTTCAATATATAATAATTTTTTTTTTTAAAAAAGAATATATGAATGTATATTTATTTACAAATATACCAATGTGTAAATGAGCATATATAAAGAATATATAAATCAGTGAAGATGAAATACAGATAAATAGATATCCACAATTCCATGATATGTATGATTTGTAGTGGTATGATTAATAAGAACAACAACAAAAATAATCATGTAGCTAACTTTTCCTGAGTCTTGCCATCTGTTAGCATTATTCCAAGTACTGTATATTTATTAGGTCATTTAATCCTCACAACATCTCTATGAGGTAGAATGTAGTTCAAGGTACTGAGGGTGCAGAGAAAAGGAAGGTGTTGATTCTGCTGACAGGGAATACGAGTCAGTGTAGCTTCAGAGAAAAAGAGGTGCCTGGGTAGTAATTAAAGCCTTGGATGTGGCTGAGCTCTGGGGAAGAAGATGCAGTGAGAAGCAAAAATAAGAGGGAAAAAAAATCCACTGCCATCGAGTCAATTCTGACTCACAGTGACCCCCATTGGGTTTCTAAGGCTGTAAATCTTTATGGAAGTACATTGCATCATCTTCCTTGCACAGAGTGGCTGGTAGGTTTGAACAGCCAACCTTCTGGTAGCAGCTAAATACCTCATCCATTACACCACAAGAGGTCCTTAAAGAGGTGGGAGGAAAACTAAGGAAAGTGGCACAAGGGAACCAGGTGAGGAGAGAGTTTCCAGAAGGAGGAGTATTAAATGTCCTAGTAAGGTCAAGTGGAAGAACTGAAAACCCTTGGCTCAGATATCTCAAAGGTCATAGAGATTAGTTATAGAGTAATTTCTAATGGACTCATACTGAAGTGGATTAGGAGAGGAAATGGAATGAGTGACACAGACTATTCCTGGAGGAAACCGGTAGTAAAAGAAAGGAGATCAAAGTAGATGGCAGCCAGGGGCAAGGGAGACTTTTTTCTTTTCTAAATGGGATTAACCTGAACTCAGGTTTTGTTTTGTTGTTGTTGATATTTTGAAAGAAGGGGAGGCTCCAGTAGAGGAAAGATTGAAGAAAAGGGAGGATCCGAGGAGGCAGGTGAGACTGGGATGAAGAAGAGAGGTGGAAAGATGAGTCCGGGATGAGTCTTCCCCTAGTTATGGGGGGGTGGGGGTGGAATGGGTGAATTATTAAGGAAGTTGTCACAAGATGACCTCTAATTCCTTAAAAAATATACCACTGTATTTCAGATCCTAGAAACCCATTCAATCCACCTCCTTTGGTTAAAGAAGAGAGGAAGAAAAAAGAAGAGGTAGTTTTTTTTTTTTTTTTTTTTTTTTTTAGCTATCATGTGTAACACACTAAACACAACAGGAGAACAGATGGGAAAAATAGCTGCATAAGAATGAGCCATACACAGGTCCTTTGAATGAGTCTGCAGAACCAGATGGAAACAAAAGATGATTCTGTTAAGGCATATTTGCACTAATTAAACTAGACCATAAGGTTGGTGAAGGCAGTAACTGTGTCTATCCTGTCCACTGTTGTATCTACAGTATCCAGTTCAGTGCCCAGCCCACAGCAGATGCTTAATCATAGTTTATTATCTGAATGAATAAAAGATTCAAGCATTTAAAACTTTGGTTTAGCTATTCCAATCAATGTTAAAAGCAGGGCCATCTTCATGGGTGTATGACCTGTGCAATTAATTGCACAAGTCCCTGAACTCAAAAGGGACCTCTGTCTGGTTTAATGATTTGCTTTCTCTATTTTGAAATTCTCAATAATATACACAAGGGGACTCACATTATCATTTTGCATTAGACCCTACAAATTATATAGCCAGTCCTGGTTAAAAACAACAACACACATTTCCACAAAATGTCACTAAATGGGTATTTTAGATTCATACGAATATCAAATTATCTGTAGAAAGTTACCTTTAAAATTTTATAGACCCATAGAAAGGTAGGTAAGTATATATATATATATATATATATATATAGACAGATAGATAGATATACATATCAGGCTTACCCGAAATACTAGATCGTGGTTTTTCTTTCTTAAAATATGCTTCATACTCTCTGTAGACAATTTTCTTAAAGGTAGTTGCAGAACTATTCAAGCTGGAAATAAAATACAAAAACAAATTTGAAATTCATTATACCGTATATGACATCTACTTCTTATATTATAAAAGGGTAGATTGCTCATGTCCTCAGGCTTCTAGTAGAAATAACACTATTTTTATTGTATTTATAAAACAATAAATGAAGTTAATGAAATACAGTGAAACTTGTGAGAGACAGCACTCATTGGTACTGCTGTCTTTTTCCAGATCTTAAAAGTTTTCCCCCTTTGAAGGATGCAGTCTTACCCTTTTCTATCTCTCATTTTAATTGAAAATATTTTAGTTTCCTTCTCTGACAGATTTCCACCTTACATAGGTTCTGGCTTTTGCAGGTTTTACTGCAACTATTGGTAGCATAGTGCCTAAGGCACTTGACTGCTAACCAGAAGGCTGGCAGCTCAAACCCACCAGCCACTCCTCGGAAGGAAGGTGGGGCAATCTACTTCCGTAGTGATACAGCCTCAGAAACCCACGGAGGGGTCGCTATGAGTCGGGTCTGACTTGATGGCACATAGAAACAACAACAACAAGAAACAATAACAATTGGTCTCTTCAAAAATATTCACTTGTGATAACCATTCCTTCACAAATTTCATCAGTTGCCAGAGTTGGTTCCTGTTCATGAAGAACAGTATGTGTCAAAGTAGAACTGTGCTCCACAGGGTTTTCAGAGTTGATTTTTCTGGAAGCAGACCACCTGACCTTTCTTCTGAGGTGCGTCTGGGTGAGCACAAACTTCCAACCTTTTGCTCCGCAGCCAAGCATGTTGACCATTTGCACCACTCAAGGACTGCCTTTCATGAATTTAAGCTGTCCTAACAATCAATTTTCTAAACAAGAGCCCAAAATCATAGTGCAAACCCAAACTTTAGGCTTAAATTTTAAATGATTGAAAATATGACCAAGTATTTTACAAATATATATGTGACTTATTTTTCAGCTTATCAATCAAATACAGTTTTATGTTCCTGGGGAACATTGTAAATAACTACTGATATTTTGGGAGCTCTGGTAGCATAGTGCTTAAGGCACTTGACTGCTCACCAGAAGGCTGGCGGTTCAAACCCACCAGCCACTCCTCGGAAGGAAGGTTGGGCAATCTACTTCCATAGTGATATTGCCTCAGAAACCCAAGGAGGGGTCGCTATGAGTCAGGTCCAACTCGATGGCACATAACAACAACAACAACATAGTGGACCTCATTTCTAATTGAGAGGTAGGAGATGCAGTAAAAGCCCTGCGTTTCATCCTGGAAACAAACGAAGAAATGATAAAACTAAATCTCAAAAATGTAAGACACTTGTCCAAGGAGCCACTATCAATAAATGGCAGACATAGAATTCAACAAGATACAACCATTGCATTCATGTAAAGAAGGTCAGAGAGGAAGATGCAGGATGAGACTGGGATAGTTTCCTGTCTATTTTCTTCTGCTCTTCTAAAGATGGGCACATCAGTCCCACCCTTTGTCTTAAACCATACAAAAAGGCAAAAGGGAGGAAAATTGGAAAAAAATTTCTTAGAAATATATGTTAAGCCAATTGACCTAATTGACTTTGTTATGCTTCTAATCTAGAGGGAGTGGTCCAGCTATAATTAGGGCATAACAGAGTGAGATACCAACCACATTTGCCATGGCTTCATTATAGCACAGTGACTAAGAACATAGGTTATGGATTCCGAGAGTCTGAGTTTGAATCCTCTTTCCACTCCTTATTAACTGTGTAACCTTGAAAAGTTTACTTAATCCTTACTTAATCTGTGTTTCAGTTTCTGCAACTGTGAAATGGGAATTCACTTACAGAATTGTTAAGTTGGAATTGGCTCAATGGCAGTGGATTTTTTTTTTTTTTTTTTATTAAATAAGTGATACATACAAAGGATTTAATGGCACTTTGTAATTATTCAATAAATGTTGTGTTGTTGTTGTTGTTGTTATGTGCCATTGAGTCAGATCCAACTCATAGCGACCCCTCCTTGGGTTTGCAAGGTGATATCACTATGGAAGTAGATTGTCCCATCTTCCCTCCAAGGAGTAGCTGGTGGATTTGAACCGCCAGCCTTCTGGTTAGCAGTCAAGTGCCTTAGGCACTACATTACCAGAGAGCCCCAATAAATGTTAGCTATTAATATTATTTTAAAAATATAGTAAGAGTTTATTGTTAGATCTCAGGTTTTCCCAGTGAGCAGAAAAATCTAACTGTAATAATGCTTACAATAATGTTTACAATTTTTCATATGTGGGGTGCAGAACTGTGTTAATATTTGGGGGCAGAATTAAAGAGGCATGAGTAAGTGCTTTCAAAATGGCTGCTGTTAGAGGTAGCACATTCTCAGTCACGGGAAGCATTCCAATACCACTTGGTAGGGGTATTGGGGTATTGGTGTAAGGGTGTGGAGAGAGTGGGAGGTTAAAACATGGAAGCTGAAAATGAATTTAATGTTGTCTTGGAGTTCTTTGAGCCCAATAATCCTAGGACTCTACATGTTAGCTTAGGTCCCTAATGTGGAAGTCCATATTAATTAATTTCTTTAGTATAATGGAAAAGTAACTCTTCTTCCCTCATCCCCTTGCCAAATCTTTAAATACAGCAATATAGATGTGATGTAAAATATTTACTTAAGGCAAATCACTCTTTTATGTGCAGCAATTTCAATAGAGGCATATTTCTTAACATGTTTCCTTGTACTTATTTGTAATATATGTGTATACATATACACACATATATACATATATACGTACACATATATTGATTTGGACAATTGAATTCCTATTGAAGTATCTGTTGAATAGAAAGATAAAAATGATATGAAGTAAAATAACATTCATGATGAATTTTCCATTCACAAGGACTATTAAGATGATTTTTAAAGTAATAATGAAACCGTACAAAGGTAGAACCCTAGAATGGAATATCTATATCTATATCTATATCTATATATCTATAGATGAATTTCTGTTACTACATACATGTTAATGATTGAACACATTTCCTTGGGGATTATCAAAAACATTCACCTCAGGAGGCGGGGCAAGATGGCGGACTAGGCAGAAGGATTGCACAGACCCTCTTCAACAAAGAAAAGGGAAACCAATAAATACAGACACAGAAG